CAATTAGAGAACCACTGAAAACCATGACCCAATCGGTGATCAGATCTAGCACCACCATATTCTAAGGTGAGCTCGTTAACCACTCATCCAACCACTGGAAAAGAATCCAATAGCTCATGAATTCCAACTTCTGTTTTACAGATTCCTCATAAATGATAATTTTGACTCTCCATTGTAGCGCTGTTACTAAATCAGAGGAAATTGGATTGCAACGCTATGCTACATTACGCAACTGAAGCAAAATTGAAGAACCAAACAACCAGCTAGTAAATGCTGCATAAAAACGTATTCAGTCACTTCCTGTTGATAGATAATATATGAGGCATTGAATCTATTTCACTAATAATAACAATTACCTAATCACCTGACACAACGACAGACGAATACTTAGTAATTAATAGAATTAGTATAATAGACGAGTTTCTGTCAAACTTTCCTTATGAATATCCAAGTATGTCTTTAATAGACATAACTGTATAATAGTTAACTTATTGTTACTTAAGGCAAATAAATACTCAAGACGAATAAATGCAACAAATAACACAATAAATAGAAAGGGTATATCTGAAAAATAGGAGAATTCTATTTCCCATAATTTCTCTCTCAGAAATGATTAATTACCGAGTTGGCTGTTGCTTTCCTTAGCTTTCATTTCAAGAATGATTAACTACTTGCTACGCCTAGACAATAACGACTGGAAATGATGATAAATGGAGAAACATAAATTACAAATTTGACCTTAGAAAGCAGGCAGGAAAGTAGACAGGTTGACATATGACCCGAAAATAGTAGCGCTTTGTATCATAATTCAAATACTATGAAAGGTAAAACAAAAAGAAATTGAAAGCAAACTAGACAGGATGATAAATTTGACATTCGAAAGTCTAATCAGGTAATCCAGTTAACAGTAAATATCCTACAGAAGTAACATTGATAATAGCAGTTCGACAAAGTTATCATCGAACTATTTTGATACTAACTGCGTGCTTGGTATTTAAGTGAAGTAGGGAATGTAATTTTCTGAGTGAGGGAATCCTCGCATTCAAATCCTATTCCGTTAACTGTTTTAATTGAATACGAAAGAGGTTTCAAAGGTTTAGTTCATAAGCATATGACTCCTATTTTCTCCTCTTAGTCCTGCTGGATTCAACAGTGCGAGTGAAGTGATGCAAGCTCACTGGAATATAAAGGCTTTTGTTGAACCCACAAATGCTAAACACAACATAAAACCAGAAGATACTGACATATTTAAACAAGTCAGTAGTCAATATTTATCAGAGCTATGATTACTTAAACAATGGCAACAAATAGTCCACCCACATTTTACTAATAGAGATTGCAAATCAGCGAGAAGACACCATGGATAGAAAAAAAAACAGTTGTTAGCAGGAACAAAAAGCGGTAAGAAGGCACTGTGAGAAAAGGAATAAATTATTTCCAGTTTTGAGACTCCAAGGAAGAATACGCTCATGACTCTCTCTACTGCCACTAATAAATCCGCGGGTATAGTTACCGAACCTGCTTTCTAAAAGTAATTACACTTGGAAATGATCAGTGGTCGAATTTTCTTTCCCATTTAGATTTGAAATTATTTAGAATATTTTATGGAAGTAATTTTCAGTCCGTACAATTCTGATAGTAAGTGTGTTGTAATTCGTAAATGAATAAGAATTTATAGGAAAATTAGCAAGGATTCAAGAATGAGCTAAAGTTTCAACCTGCATTCGGTTACGGTTAACTAATCAAGGGGAGATTGATGGTTAAGAGTGTTTGATGGACAAATATCACTAACTTATATTCGCAGATATTTTGTATATGAGACTGATTTCACTACTTTTATTGTAAGCAATTCGTTTCACTTTGTTGATTACTCAGCAAGGCAGTGTTTCATTCTTCAAGTAGAAGTTGTTACATTTCGACATAGGTTACCATAACCAGCATTAGTAGCTCACATACTCACGTGAACGCAGATTAACCATACGGCAGAAATCAAGCGTTACTTTCCAAAATATGATAATTATTTCAAATAAAAAACTAAAATGTTAGGAAAGTGAAAAAAAGGTTATGAGACAAGTTATATTTTCTGCGATTCCAGATATTTTTTCAGCAAAATGATGAAACAATATTGTGGTAAGTTTTAATTTTATCAGGAGTGAACAATGATGTTCTTTATATGATGCTTACAATCGACTTATATCTGTCACCGGTACCCACGGTCTTCGTATTTGTTCAGGTAGATCATTTATTATTTTTTTATTTTTATTTTTGATTACAGCTTGATGCCACACTATATTTTCAGTACAAGTATGGAATTTTCAGCATGGATATCGGTAGCCCAAATTTAAAGGCCGACCATACATATCGGGTGTGCGTCGGCAGGGGATCGAACCCCGGACCATGTGCATGGTCGGCAAGAGTCCTAACCACTGTGCAGTGGCGTTTATTTTTACGAGATGGGATTGCTAGCCTCATGCCCAACCTTTTCTCTCTACCATTCTTTATTAGTCTTATTACTAGCTTAGTGAGGTAAAGGAGTGAGTTGGCAGGGAATCGAACCCAAAACCACCTGCATGGTTGGCGACCATTCGACCGCTGTGCCACCGACGCACTCATAGGCATAATATCATTGTTTAACTTAAGAACATTTTATTGCTTTCCTGTCATATTTTCCTTTACTCAACGTGCGAATGTTGGTGATGAGCAAGGTCCTATGGTCATAATATTTATTTGTCAATCTACTAATCATCATCATAACAAATATATTTGCATAATTTCCGAACAGAATGAACCCGTTTCTTTTATGTGGTTACGCAGTTTATATGACTCAGACATCAGCGATGCATCAGTTCTGATTAAAGTTCAACGATTCAAAGATACATTTTTGGATTAAATTCCACACTATAATATTTATCTGTAGTTGCATTCTGTACAATGACATATTTTCATCACTCATTACTACCACTTAGATTTGTGTAACTCTAATATCTTAGAGTCACTGACTCAAGTGTTACATTCACAAATAATATTCATGTAGACGACCATTAGTAATACAATAGAGAAGTAACAAAAACGAATCTCATAACTATTATTCAGTTATAAATTTCCTTAACAGATGGTATCAGGTTACTAGACATCAGATGAAACATCATGTTACTGTTGGCACTTAGGTAAATGCGTCTGTGTGTGTGTGTGAATAGTCATGTGTAAATCGAATTTGGTCATCCATTCCCTCCGTCCATGCATCAATAATAATAATTATTATTATTATTACCTAAGGATGAGTAAATCCAAAAGGGTAAAACATTCGAGGATGAATTGACAACCAGACATTAACCTGGACTTTGACTACAAGATGAATTAAAAAGGTAGTTTTATATAAAATCCCATGAGGTTATGTGCTCACAGACAGGGATTGAATTTCACAACAAGGAAAATAAAGAAAAGAGGAAAACAAAACACTTATCTATCTATCTATCTGTCTATCTCAATTGGTATAAATGATAGCATAATCAGATTTCACAATTAAACGGAACAGAACAGAATGCAAACAAAGAGTTAGTAGATATCTCCATAACTTTCTCTAACACAGACACAAACACACACACACACACACAGAGTAAAAATCTACTTCAAAGTGTATGAGACGTCGAATTCGACCATAGTAGTGAGAAAGTAGGTCGAGGAATTTTAACCTTAGGTCATATATTCCCATATTTTAAGGTCATTTTATTTGTATACCTATTTGCCTGTCGATAAATGACAATGTGAGAAAATTATTTATCACAAGCTACTGATTTGATTATAAATGGATGCTCATTTTACAAATAACTAGTAAACAGAAATTAAAAAAGAAACTAAAACAGGCTGACTCAGACAAATTACACAGAAGAAAACGAGAAATAGAAATGTGGAAGATAAAAATGTGAAGATAGGACAAACTAAACATGATGACGCATTTTCCCAGACTAGGTGTATGCAGACAATTTTTCTTTTGAAACACGATAATTATTCCTGGCCTAGATGAATACAAAATCCATAAATTTAAGGATTAAAAACGATGTCCACAGGTAATTTCTCTAACATAACAACATGTCGAAATTAAGTCACAAGCTGAATAAATGGACTGGAATAATGTATGACAGAATAAATATTAGAAGACGTCATAAATCGATGATACAATGACTCTCATATTCATTAAACTGTCTTGCTTTTTCCTCAGCATTTCTGCTGATTATCCTTCTTCAAATATCTTTTTTCTCTTTCTCTTTTGTCTATCATTGCGGGTTACATGGTACAGCAACTTGAACTGATGGACTTCTATCCTAAGTTGTATGTTGAAACTCAGCCAGTAAACTTAATGATATATATGATAAATATCGATTTCACTAGAATTTTGATTCTACTTAATGCATAAAATGTGTCATAGCTAAAGCAGTACTAATTTTACAAGAGTGTTTATCATAAGTTTCTCCAGAGAACATTTCTGTTCAATTAGCAGATGGAACTTCAGACAATAATATCTGAATATGATCTTAAAAGTTCAACAAATGAAAGTCAACTCCCAAAATCACTTGGCCAGAGTCACATTTCAGTCAATGACTACTCAATAATAAAGCTGCGTGTTTCTGTGGCTTCAAGAAAATAAATACGGTGAAAATGTGAACTGTTGGTTAACTAACTGTCCCACTATTGGTTTTTTCACAGCTTTAACAAAAAGTTATGAAGGGGTAATTGGTTACATGAATACGAATACATTCTTTGCTACAAATGGTTTTTGCTTTCATCCTCAAAAGGTTTTTCAGCTGGCGTAGTGATGAGAATTCTTGCAAAACTAAAACAGCTTCCCACTTTGTGTGTTGTTTAAGAAGTATTTTGAAAAATATCAAACTCATAAAAAAATAATTACAAAATACAACCACTTATAATAATAATAACGGCTTTATTCAAAAAAATGAGTTTATACATAAAGATACAGTTGATACAAAGGGCAATCAACCAACCTGATTTAATCCACCGCCTTCAGAAAATAAAACCTTAATGAGTTTAAGTGCCCCAAAGTCGATTTGTAACCATTCATTTAATTCGTTATGTATTAACTTGGCTGGACACCAAGCACCGGAAATTTCTTCTTTGGAAGCAAACACTACAAAACTAGAATGAGGAGAAGAAGAAAAGTTGATTAGCTTATAACGACTAATAATAAAATATATTAAAAATGACAGATAATAACTAATGGTAACCTACAAGTGGTCAGTACTCGATTATAAAATGAACAGGGATGATTAATAAATTCTTCAAAAATAAGTGAACCAGTAAGTCTATTAGTAGATTATAATAAAAATGAAGGCAGTACAGAACAATTAATTAGATGAAAATCATTATAGGTCAGTTGTTGATTACAAAATATGAAGTGATCTTTATTAAGTTGATTACTTGCTGCGTCAATTATTTATTGCTATTCTCTTTTAGGGTCAACATTATATTGAATGTTCTACTTGTCTATATGAAGTGAGACAAGAAATGATACTCATTTTAAGTTAAACACTGGACTACAAAAATGAAAAAATACATGGGGATAACAGCCATATATATATATATATATATATATATATATATATATATAGTAAATAGAATGTAAGTTTTTGCAGTGGCATCACATCACTTAAAACGCATCTGTCTCCAACCAAGACATTTAACTTTGGAACACCCAACTTTCAGACTGCGTATAGGAAAAATTCGTTCATATGAATTCGCTCTTTTAATATTTATTACTTTAGTTGAAATGTCTTTTTTTCCAAACAATCTACTACTTCCTTACTTCATGTTTCATATCTGAGAATTGCATCCATAAGATGATTTATATTCACTACAAACTGTCTATATCTTATTTTGGAGACAACTTCTGAAACAAAAATGGAATCAGTATTGTTTTGAGTGTTTTGCACATAGTTAGTCAGAAGGTCAGCTTTCGTACGTTTATACAAAAGGTGTGTCTCAGAGTCTAATGCACAAATATATACATTTAAATGTTTATGGACATTTTCAGTCCTGCCGATACTGATGCTTCGCAATTTCTTCTAGGCTGTTCTTATTCTTAAGAATGTTTTATATGTTGTTATAATAAACGAAAACTAAGGCATATTACTAAAAGAGCATATAACTGACCGATATATTTCGATTTTTAAAAAATTTTTCAGTATCATGCTGAATAGACATTTAGCGTATACTATACACAGTAAAAATGAATGTTGCCTAAAGCTTACTCGTGAGTTAAACTGAGTTTTACACCCTCCTAATAACAAAGAAGCTGAAGTTATGGTAAATGCACCAGTCAAGCTAATTCACATGTTTTCTCCCCTTAGTGTACTGTTTGAATAGAGGTTGCATAACGATTAGAGTTCAGCTTGTGTGAAGGATTTTTAAAAAGTCTGTCTGTTAGGTATTATTTTGAACCAACCAATGAAATGTAGTTTAGAGCATCACATTGATTAATCACTGAAGGATAACCAGTGTCAAGCGACTAGTGCTTGGTGCTGGTGCAGACTGAATTCTATGAATCAAGTTTGCGATGTGGTCATCAAGACAGGTAGCTCACTATCACAGTGCACTCTAAATTTCTTTAGATGGTTGAGGGCGATCGGCAGGAATCCCTTCCGAATAGCTCAGTGGTAACATTTTCAGCTGCAGGACTGGGTGATGCAGGTCTCAACCTCAGAAAGACGAGTTCCTTCAAGGTTGCAGATACACCTTGCTGACGAGTGCCAACAAGCAGGTCCAGAGTTTCTAGCTGATTGTGTCTCCAACCGTCAAACATCAGTTTAGAACATCTTACAGAATATCCCACAGATATTGTTCATAGAAATGTTTTACACATCTTAAAAGACCCTTCTTTTTTGAATTAGCCCGTTCACTGGGGAACACAATATCTATCCAGAACATGGTGTTCAATGTTACATTGTTTTACTCAACAATTATTTGCATTCACATACATTTGTTGATGAGCCACACTTGTTGTGCGAGGGTTGATGTTACTACCTGACTACTTGAGATTTTGTGATCAGAGAGGGTGAGGCTCAGAATAAACGCGTTATAGTTGATAGCCTTGACCAGTGATACACAGTGCTGCGCATTTAATGATTAATCTTCATGTCACATATCTTTCAAGAAAACTAATTAATCTTACACAAAAGTTTGAAAAACAAAGACACCTACGATTCATTGAACTGAAAACATTACAAGCGATGTCAGTTACTTTTTAAAAGACGTAGATAAACATCAGAAACCACATACATATAAAGTGTACAAATCAGAGACAGTGAAAAAATTGCTAAAGGAAACGCCTAAAATGATCAGAGGCAGTCAGTGTGTGTGTGTCAATTTTCATTTTTCACACTTACAGCATAGGACAGTAAAGTGGCCTGATTCTCAGATAAGCAATGACAGAGCATCCGGGAAATCAACATTACACTTTATTAAAAATTTAAAAAATGTAGGAGCAAGAACTACAATCAAGGAAAAGTATAAAAATACTTTTAAACTGGTGGTAAATAATGTATACGCATCTTTAAATTCTTTCTAAAACAAAAATCAACTTGAATGAGATATAATCAGCAAGATGGGATACTGGACAAACAATTAGAAATAAGTGCCAATGAGTAGCCACATAAAGGTCGTCTACAATGTGAGTGACACAAGCCACACCTACTGTACACCTACAACATAGACTAAGCTGTGACCTATAACCACTGACATAGAGGTCTAAACATAAAGAAGTAAAAAAACAAACAAACAAACAAAAAGGATAAAAAATTACAATAAATAAAAATGAAAAAAGGACTATCAATAGTTGACTAAAAGAAGAGATAAGATAACTTGGTAACGGGGTATGTGTTGTTAAATTAAAAGGCATTTGTGATGGTACTAATGAAGTTAAAATAGACAGTAATTTCACATAGCTTCCTGTGCACAGTGTTGAAAAAGTTCAACTACCTAGAGCTGTATATAAGTAAATTTTCCTTCTATACGCTTCGGTAAATGACTCAGTTTAGTAAACAGAGAAACAGTGAAATGAATGAAAGACTTAGACCTACAGTACACAGTTAAATTAGAAGGATAGCAACAAGTCTAAAACTTCCAAGCACAACTTGATATGAGTAATAAATAGATAATAATTCGTGAAGAGTTTCATAAATGGTGAAGGCATTTCATACAACCGGTCCCCCCTTGATTACTTTGAATAAAGTAAGAACGAACATATTTGCACGATAAAAAGAGCTGAGTGTTTTCACTTCACGACTTTTCTCCAATTGTTAGCGGTCTAAAAATGATATCAGTTATCAAAACTACCTAAAGTGCATGTTAATTGATAAATGCAATTGGAGTTGACAAGAACAGGACACTTATCTCCTGCAGATTGCATTAATGAGTATTTCCTGTAATGAGTTATAAAGAGAAATCAATCTAGAGGTGGACGTTTGATTCTTTTTCCGATTCTTGTTATGGTTCAGCTTCTTTGTACTCCAGGTACATAAAAATTGGTTTCTGTTCAACTCTTACAGAGACTTCAGGATGGACGCTTCTCCTCTTCCATATTTCATTATAAACTTCCTGGGATTAACATTGTTCATTAAATTCTTTTCAATAATCATTAGTTCTTCATCAGTCTTATTTTCTAAGCTCTGGTGAATGGCATTTTTGACCAAACTCCGTTTACAACCATTTGGAGTTTTTTGGGTTGAGATAATTTTTGATGTTATATACGTACATTTATGCGTCAGTGGCACAGCAGTAGGATGCTCGCCAACCACGCCTCATGTGGTTCGGGGTTCGATCCCCGGCCACAGACGCACTCCATTACCTCACTAAGCTAGTAATAAGAATGGTAAAGAGGAAAGGTTGGGCATGAGGATAGTAATCCCATCTCATAAAAATAAACGCCACTGCTACCGAAAATTCAAGCCTCTAGCTCGAAACCCTATGTTCCACTGGGAACGTAAAGGAATAAAAAAAACGTACATTTATAATGACTTTTGCCGTTTTCAGACTGTTAGGAGCAAAAGAAAAGCCATGAAATAAAAAATTATCTCATTTTCTTGTCCTGCAAATATGTTCGTTGTTGCTTTTGCACAATAGAGATAAGTGAATAAAGTCCGCATGAAGTTATTACTTTTCTATGGATAAACTATTATTTTAGAAGTAATCATAGAGGTATGAAAGACAAAAAGGGATGAAATCGATGTCGAAACCATCTGTAGCGTGAACAGCTAAACAAGTTTGCTGTACTAACGTAGTAACAGTTTGAAATTTTGATTAATCTTTTAGACGAATCTATCCATACCCTATTTTGTTATATAAATACAAGAATACAATCTAAGAATAACAGAACAATACAACTGGAATTGTGTCTCGTGTTTCCTTCTTAAAACAGAAAAAGTAGTGGTTTCGTGGAAACTCTGATGTCGCGACACACATGAGAGAGGAATGCACACTGATACGAACAAACACAAAGGATAAAAAGACATGCACAAATAAACATAAACCCAAAAGATAAACTGGCGCCCATTTCATTTTATAGTCGGAAATAATAATTAGTAAAATAAACGCTCATTTATCATCTATCCTCATCAAACGTCGTGATTATAACTACAAATGGAATTTACATCAGGTAAATAAACAAACAGTGATTATCATGACTAACGATTAAATAAGGGAATATTGACTATGGATTTGCTGAGATGAAAAATGACAAAGCTAAATAATATTCACTATTATTAAAGAGAATAAATACTATGTGATGGATAAATGAAATTATGTCTATTTGCGCACACAGGAGGTTTTTAATCATCGGTAAGTAGATTATATCAATTAGAGTTAGAATCTAACATGGAAGGGACTATTCCGACATAATTTCTAAATGTTTTACTTTTTTCATCCAGTGATACATGATTGTCTATTGCAAGAGAACATCAACTAAATGGGAATATACACATTAAAGCTTTACTTCCTTTAGAAAGGAAGTCATTTAGGTCAATGCAATAATATGAAATATTGGTAAACAGTTAGACTGAGCAATGTAGCGTGGATGAAAGCATGTATGGTGGCGGTTTGCTTAAATCATTGAGTTATTTGATTTTCTATCCAGTATAATGCAT